CAATCAAAAGATGCTTTTGTTAATGGAAACAGATGTTTACAATGAGGTGCAAACCACTGGTTACAGGCTCAAGCCTCAGAAAACATGTGAAAGAGCCAAGTGTACATATGTTTGGACAGACAAAATCAAGACTGACTTTTATCACAATGATGGACGAGAAGGGGAAAAGTTAGTATGTCAAGCACGGTGGAGGCAGTGTTATGACATGGATACACTGTCCATGTCGTGTTTATTGATGATGTGACTGCTGATAGAAGAGGACAACGAATTCTGAAGTGCAGAGGGGGTTATACTCTCTGCTCAGATTCAACCGAATGCTGCAAGCTTGATTGGATGATACAAAGCAGGCTGCAAAAGTTTTTCATGGCAAAGAAATAGAATTTTCTACGGTGACCTGATGTCAACCGAGTGAAACACTCTTTTGGAGTATTCAACTAAATGCATAAAATTAATGCAAATTTGAATAAAAACCTCTTGAATTAAAGCTGAAGGTCTGCACCACAATCACATCTTGATTGCTTGATTTTGATTTGTTTTTATTTATTTCTTCTTACCTCGAGTATGGTTCTGCTGTGTGCTCTGTCAGGACTAAGCCTCAGATTCCATCGATGGGATCTATGGCTTCGCCCGCCATCATCCTCGCTCTCCGTGGTGTCTTGTCGCGCTACTCGAGGACGTTTCCGTCTCCGTGAGCTGATTCGCTGGAGAGAACCAGGCTCCTGGAGTCTGAACAAATTGAGTCAAAGGCACAAGGTCAGATACAGTAAGGTACAGCGCAGCACACTGTGTGAATATGAACGTGTCGGTGACCTGCAGTCTGTATCCTCTATATCCGCATCTGCGTCACTCTCCCCTTGAGGGTCAGATAACACACACTCCTCCTGCAATGGAGCGAAAAAGACAAGAAAAAATATATAATAACCAACAGAAACACAGAGGAATGTGTTAGCAGCCATTAAGCTGGGATAAAATATGACAAATACAAAAGTGTTTTCAATTTTTTGAGTTTTTAAAATGAAAGAAACACATAAATCCCAGTGACTCATCACAGACCAGCACAGTTTGTGAAACCAAATACCACTTGATGATGGCATTTGTCTGTGTGAGTGTGCTAATGCGTCACTTTTTATATTACCACCATTGTTATTAAGCATGAATCAGCTCACACCTCTATCCATAACGTAATGAAGTCAGAGAGTATTTATATCCCAACAGTACCAGTCTTTTTACCTCTTTCTGTCACAGACAGACAGACAGACAAACAGACAGACAGACAGACAGACAGACAGACAGATAGACAGATAGATAGATAGATAGATAGATAGATAGATAGATAGATAGATAGATAGATAGATAGATACTGAATAACGGGGATAACTCAAAAATCATTGATTTGTCTAAAGGTTCCTATTCCAGAACACAAAATATATCACTGAATACTAAACTGTATATTATAGTAACAAGAACTACTGCCACTCTGTACTGAAAATATAAGTTTAGCATTTAAAAAAAAAAAAAAAAACAATGAGCTATTAACATAATGTGCTGTGTGTTTTTATCTCTGGCCAAAAAATGCAGTTCCTGTAATGGCCACTTGAGGCTGAATCCAAAAGTAAGTCACCACAGCGCCCTATGTTAAAATGGCTAATTTTGCAACACAACTATAAATTGTTACAGCCTGCTACCAAAAAAAAA